GTCGCGCCCCACATTTTGAGAACCACTGCCTTAGCCCGCACGGCCACTGGGATCGGCAGACAAGCGTATACAAGTAAATAGCAACCTGTGTTCATGCTGGATTCAATCTTATTGCATGGTGGAGACAGACTTCCATTACCACTTTTATGTGACATATAATATTGTGTTCATTAACCTGCATTGGTGCATGTGCAGCATCCAGCTGGAAGAGTAATGCACTTTTTCAGTATTAATACTGTTGCCCATCAGTTAAAGTAAGGCTGTCAGTACTGTATGGGCCAACAGTTTATAAGAGTCCTCTATTTCCCAACAGTAGTCCATTACCCCTAAATTACAGTGTGGCCACAAAACATGTAGCTCAAGAGGTTTTAAAATTCCTTTTCCCCAGACAATTCACCATATGGAGGCGAGTTAGAATACCTCAACTATAGCCCTGCAAGTCATAGTAGGCAACAAAAAGGGAGACCCGTGCATAGGGGTATAACTGGGCCACTCTGCCATTTGGAACTTAAATACAGGGCCTGATCCTCCAAGGTTGGGTGATTGATGCAAGGCTGATGACTTTGCTGTGTAAAATAATTGTTGCAAAATCAAAAGAAATGAAGACCAGATGCAGTCTGGCAGAATCTTCTCAAGAAGGCTGTGGCTCGAAAAGGGGAAGTTTTGCCGATGATGATGATGATTCGCAGACAATAAACTGTTACTCTTAATTTAAAATATGAATACCAAACCCATAGTACCAGTGGATTTAAATTCCAGGTCTTCCAATGTCAACATTTAAAATGTGTATGATACAATGTTTGCTACACTGTGGATATTATTGTATCCAAGTCTGCCTTAACAGTTTCTAACTGAAAAAGAAAGCAGAATTGCAAGGCTGGTTGCACTGAAAGGTGGTGCCAAGTATGAGGCTGTCATATGCTTAAGATATATTGGTATTTGAGATACTTTTTTAATTGAATGGGTTGGTATAGTGGCATTACTGTAGACTCATGTTCAGGAACTAAACTGTTTGAGACTTGGCTGGGACACCAGGCATCCTGACTGAGCTTTTTCGAGGTTTTCTTCAGCCTCCAGACAAATGCCAGGATATTATGTTGATCAGGCCACAACGACTTCCTTGCAAACCCTTCTCAGTTCATTATTCATCTGTTATCCTACCATTGAATGCTATGTTGGTGTACCTACTGACAGTGTCATTAAATAATCGACAAACAAAATTATTTTAGTACTTTAAAGAAGACGTGAGAATTTTTTTATGTTATATTTTAAACAATGCTACATTATTATTGAGAGCACAGAAGGTTCTTTTGTTTGAGTGAAAGCAAATCCTCAGAGCATATAAATATCAGAGTTCCTACATATATATATTTCTGATTTCAGATTCTTGCAAGTATGAAATGATACAGCAAAATACATAATTTTTTCTGATATTGATGCCCTTGACTGATATAGCCAGCCATGCATATTGGTTCCTGTTCGCGCCATGATAAATAGTCGCAATGAAAAAATACTGAGATCTACAATTGTACATTTGCCTCAGTGTATGCTCTAATCTGATGGAATAGTAGGTGACGAGCAAGATGGACATCACCACAGCGCACTCCATGGTTCTGGAAACATTACAGCGAGCAGCTAACCAGAATGCTGAAATTCTGAAACCTGCAGAGCTGAAGCTAAAAGAATGGGAAACTGAACCCGGTTTCTACTCGATTTTGCTTGTATGTAACAAGTATAATTATTTGTTCTGTTATTGTGAAATGTAGAGTCAGTTACTATGGATAGAGGTGACACATTTAATATGTCAAACATAAATAATGGATAAAAAAAGAAAAAGAAACTACATACATATATAACAGGGCTGTCCAGCTGCAAACTACTGAGGGGTTGCATTTTTCCTTCATTACTTATCGTTGCACTGCATCAGAAAAGAGATACTTTTGTTCCTCAGTACACCAGTCTTCCCTGCAGAGATCAGATCTATGAAGCACAAATGTACAAATAAGAATTGGACCCATAAGGTTCAAGTAGATGTATATAACTTCAATATATTATAATGTTACATATAAAAATTAGAATAATTCAGTGAATTTGCTTGTGACAGTACAGTGGAAGTACCCATGCTGAATTGTTTTCAGTGTGAGTACTATGGACACTTATTCTCCTTTACAAGAGCAGATTTCTGTAGGAAGTCAAAGTAAATGAGAAAGAAGTCTCATATAAGTATGTATTCCTGAAGGGAATAAATTGTTAACACGTGCTAGCAGGCTGCAAGGAACTAACAGGCAAACCACATTTTGCTAGTTGGACAGGCCTCATTTGTATAAAGAATCGTTGAGCAAAAATAGTTAGTTTTTATGTCTGAATATGCAATCATATGTCTGTCTTTCTTTCTTTCCCATAGAACATTTTTTCAAACCATTCCATAGATGTGAATGTACGGTGGCTAGCAGTCTTGTATTTCAAAAATGGTGTTGATCGCTACTGGCGTAAAACAGCACCCAAGTGAGTGTTTTTATATAACCGAATATATTTTAACTCATTCAGTTAGTGTAATGTACTGATCTGCTAAGAATTGTATTAATAACTTCTGTTTATTTTTGAAGGAAATTATCTTTATGTGTTTCATGTCATTGTAGTGCTCTGTCCGAAGCAGAGAAGGCAACTCTGCGGCAGGGCTTGGCATCTAATTTCCGTGAGCCCATCAATCAGATCGCGACACAGCTGGCTGTGGTTCTATCAAAAGTTGCCAGGTATTGAACCTCATTTTATCTGATATCTAGTACAGCAGTCCACCTAAGTTTTTTCAGATACATTTTTACTGTGTCCTATGACTTAACTTTTTATGAATTTCCACACTTATGAATCCATAAATTATAGTCATATCTTGAACTTTTGACTTCCTGGCTTATACATTTCCTGACTTAAGATCCCACCAAATGAACACCCATTAGGCTTACAGTTTGAGTTTTTGGACTTAGGCTTGAAATTCAAATTTTATATTTGGTTCAAATTATGTATCTTTAACAGAGGAACAAGAACATGTATTCAATAAATTCCCTAAATACCATGTGAAAATTATGTTAGGATATTTCACTGCCAAAGTAGGTAAGGAAGACAGTTTCAAACCAACAATTGGGAAAATACACAAATTACACAAAATTAGTAATAATAATGGAGTTAGAGTAGTAAACTTTGCCAAATCCAAAAATCTGACTGTCAGAAGTACAGTGTTCTCACATTGTAACATACTTGGATATCTCCTGGTGGAAAAACTCACAATCAAATTGCCCTTATTTTGATAGATAAAGAGACAGCATTCAATTGCTTAGGAATAATGATTCTCTAAAATACGGTATTTTTCTTTAGGTTTGACTGTCCACGCGAGTGGCCTGAATTGATTCCCATGCTCCTGACTGCAGTCAAAAATGAAGACCCACTTGTTCAGCATCGAACGTTATTAATGCTTCATCATGTTATTAAGACTCTGTCTTCGAAACGGCTGGCTGGAGATCGGAGGTTGTTCCAGGAACTTACCAGTAATGTGTTCTCCTTTGTGCTCAACCTTTGGAATGCTCATATGGAAAACTTTCTTACACAGGTTTGAACTGCATAATTTGAAGACTGAATTTTGTTTTGTGGTTTCTCTAAATATATATGGACAACTTCTGGTATGCTCATGAAGTGTAAGAATTCGTGTACCGTGAAGCCCTGTTTTAAGGTTCCTTTTGGGATCAGCATATTTTAACTGAGAAACAGTCGCAGATGGAGGTAATTTTATGCTGAGAATGTTCACTTATAATCATTGAAATTGAACTTAGTTTGAGGGAAAATAAACCAAGGAACAATGGACATTGGTGAATGTAAAGTTTCAGCCATACAGTAATGGTAATACCTCAGTTAGGCCACAATCACTTTCAGATTCATTCATTTATCATCCTACCATCTGATGCTATATACACTCAATACTACAAATGTTGTAATCCACAAAACTAATGTCCATAATTACAGTGTGTGTAGTTTAGTAGATAGGTACCAGTGTTTCAGAGGAACCTGTCTTCCAAACTATGCAGTATCACATCCCTGAAGGCCATAAATTAAATTAGGATGTCGTTCACAGGGCGTCTGAATTTGGGCAAGATTAAGAAGACATACACCTGTGTATGTTGAATCATTATGGAGAAGAAGATAGGTATATAATTCTTATTTGTTTTCTTTTCATTTCTTTTTTTACAGGTCTGTTGTTGAATATGGTCCAGTCTCCCTTTTTTTCTTTCCACATTCCCTCTTATTTTCTTCCCATGTTCTTTCTCTCATTTTCTGTTTATTTCCAGCTCTCTAATTTTTTCTTGATACCTTCGAATGTCTGACTGAACTGTCTTGTTCTGAGTTGTCCCCTAGATTTCATTCCTTTAAGTTTTAATTCTAATTGCCTTCTCATTATTAGTATTGTCTCTATTATTTCTCTTCAGACTCTATTAATAAATACTGACTTCAGACTCCCCTAAGAATTTTATACCCAAAATTATCTCACTTCTTCTTGTACTGTCAGTGCTTCTCAACATTTTCAAATTCATTCCTTTTTTCCTCTTCTTCTCATTCTATGGGTCCATGTTTCAATATTAGTATTGGTTTCAGATGTGCTGTAACATATAGGGCTGACTGTAGATGGGGTTTGAATTGATGAACTCATTTATTGACTATTTACACACACAGCTTGGAAATACAAGTAATTACAGCACCATTGCTAATCTCTGCAGTTCATAAATGACCACAGTGCCAGCTAAGCCTTTTTTCCAGCCTGCTGTGTTTTCACCATCCGTTCCCTGGCAGCAGCTTCTAACAGTTGAGATTCTTCAACTTCACACATTCAGATCTTCTCTTCACCAATTCACATGCAGAACTCACTGTCAAGTGACGTTCTTCCTTGTTCATAACATCTCAGCACAGACCACATAGAAACACCCTATTTCCATTGTTGTAGTCCAACTGTTGCATTATTAAGAATCTGCTGCCTAGCAACAGGAACTTGTTTACTGAGCTATTGCCCAGAAATGGTCACTGTTTGAAGAGTCACTGCATAGCAATTGATCTATACGCCAAAATACTTCATAGATTTTTGTTTTGCCTGTTCTGAGGCATCTGTTTTTTTGTAATATTTTTTTTTATAATTTGATTACAATTTATATGATTTTGGTTGGGTTATTTAACGGTGCTCTCAGTGGTGCGCGGTAGCGCAGTTGGTTGAGGGGCTGTGCTACAAGCCGGAAGGTCACAGGTTCAAATCCTGATGAGGTCATTGGGTTCTTTCATTTGACTAATCCTTCCAGCTGCACTATGGCCCCTGGGGTTGACTCAGCCTCTAACAGAAGTGAGTACCAGGAATTAAATAATTTTCCTGGGGAGTAAAGCACGGTCAGCGTGTAAGGCTGACAACCTTACCGCCATCTTTGAGCCGATTGTCTAGATAATGTGGGACCCTCAGTGTCTCACAACCCTATGGGCCTTCACGGCCTGGTACAGGGATAGCTTTACTTACTTACTCAGTGGTTAGACTACAGTGGCAGATGGTAGGATGAAAGATGGATTGGCAAGGATTTGGATGGAAGTTGTCATGTCCAGTTGAGATACTGTCTCTTGAATTTGTCTGGGGGAACTTCAGGGAACCATAAGAAGCCTCAGTGAGTATTCCGAGTTCCCTGGCCAAGATTTCAACTGAACACCTATTGAGCAATTCATGTAATGAAGAGTATGGTCTTCTGCATTGTGATGCTGTATAGTTTGGAGTCATGGTATGTGCCTCACATGCTTTCCCTTCTGCCCAAACTGTGTGTGCCTAACCTGCCCTTGAACATAGACAGGTCCCAGTGCCCACACTGCAGTGTAATCCCTTGTGTACATTCCATCTGAAACAGAGACATGTGTCTGTATGAACTGGTAAATCAGGTTAGGCAGTATGTAAAGGTACAAGTTAAATGATTAATTATTTATATCTATATGTATTTTAAGTATTGTTTAGGGTTAAAATGTGGAGGTAGAAGTATGGTAATAAATCTCACCCTTCCACAAAATAGGTGTCCATAAATTGTATATGAATAACCACAGTTGATTATTTTCTTCTATGTTAAGCAAATAAGGTGTAATTTGTTTGTGTTTGTTTAAATTGTAATAGGTTAATTCAAATAACAGTGAGATGGGAGCAACATTGGAGAAGGCCTTGTTAGCATTGCGCATCTTGAGAAAATTGACTGTATATGGTTTCAAGAAACCCCATGAATCACTGGATGCCATGCACTTCCTCAATCTTGTTTTTGATCGTGCCAAGACTATGTTGGAGTGCAGTAAGTAACAGTTCATACTAATTCCAGTCCAGTGAAATCCCTCCTGTTTAACCCTTAATGTCTGAAGCGCACCGATCGGTACACTGATGAGTATAATCATTGTAGCCAAAGTACCCAAATTTGTGCACTCAGGCATATAAATGCCACTAGTAGAAGCTCACGCACACACCACTAGTAGATGCATATGCACAATCCTAAATATTTATTTTTAAATATAGTAAAATTCAATATACATACATTTTTCTGTTGTTATCTACTCGACATATATACAGGCTTCAAGCCCCGCATCATGTAACTGAATCTTCCCTTTGTCTAAAACTCCTTGAAGCACCCAAGAAAGCGCAGTCCCACATCACATATATTGCATTTCAACTGCCTTTCAATTTCATCATCTTTTACAGTATGTGTAAAAATTACAAGAAAAAAATTAAAAATAGTTCATAACTTTTTTGTCTGCACATTTTCAAATCTTACGTTATAATACGTGACACTGTGTTCTTTGCTGATAAAAACAAAGTTAGTCTCATGCCATTATCATTTGACTTCGCGTAAGCTGTGTCTGCCTACATTGCAGATCCTCACATCTTTTCCCACATTTGCATTCATGTCCCCCCATAACAGTTTTAATATCATACTAGGAAGCCATCTGATATACACAGTCCAGTTATAGAATGAGGTTTTTTTGGTCTCATCTTTCTCTTCAGTAAGTGCTTGAGTGCAAATTAAGAGTCTTATTAAAGAATCTGCCTCACAGTCTTAAACAGCATATCTGTTCATCTACTGAAGTAAAGTTCATTATAGAATCCTTTAGTTTCTTGTGTATAGCAGCAATATTGATTTTATACATTTTTAAGTTCTTGTGTTAGATTTTTAGGGTGCCTGGTTTAAGTAAACTCATATGCCATGTAGCCATGTTAAAATCATAAGCCTTATTTCATTTCCTTGGTCACGTCCCTAGATTGTCTGCCTTAATTCTCTGGGGTTCTGAACGATTAATTTTTTACAGGACAGGGTTGTTAGCTCTGCTTCCAACCTTCACTGCATTGAAGGTTCAGATTTTCTATTGAGGTTTGCTCCCCTAGCTGAAGGATCTTGTTTTAAGGTGCCAAATACTTGCCTTTTGCCCTGCTCTCATCTGCTACACTCCACGCTCTCATCAAAGAATGCACCCAGGACCATCAGCTGGGGGGTTGGGAGTATGGATTTGCCAACAGAGCCTGGAGTTCAGGGAGGAGATTTCCCAGGTTTTTATAAGACCTTCGCAGGATCTAATGGCAAGCACCTTGCTGCTAGACCACCAGGACAGATTTACTAGATATGGGAAAATAGTACATTGTTTATATTGGGCTTATGCCTAGGACCTGCAAGAATACCAAATAAATGGATGCATACAAAATTGGGATTTCACTGTAAAAATTGGATAATTGAGGGAAGGGAGAGCAGTTGCCTGTAGAGACAAAGTAGATAGTGAGGATGTTACTGTACTCATTATGGACAATAGAATGTTGAGTCTAGACTGGAGAATCTGTTTGTTTGTTTGTTTGTTTGTTGCCTGTACTCAGGCTACTTCACACATTCTTAGCCCCTTGAAGACTTACAGCACCCTGCCTATTGCTCTTAGAGCCACATTTGAATGATACCTGCTGTTGCAGTGTTGTCTTATTTTCAGATATTATTTGGTGTCTTGAATTCTAAAATAATTTTTTGATCAAAGAAAGACTATCTGTTGATGACAAGAGAAAAATCTATTACAAATATTGTGTTTTTGGACATTATCCATCGTCCTGTCTTAAAACCTACTCAATTTGGCCCAATCAATAGAACTAGTCCATATCTCCAGACTTTCTTTTTTGATGGTTCAGAAAGTTATCTTAGAAGAGCAATGTCTGTGATAGGGAGCTTTCAGTATGAGGCCTTTGGGAACATCATCATGAGTCTTGCATTTCATGAGAAAAGTGAGATGTTGGAAGTTTCGGTCAGCTGGATCTTTAGTCCAAATTTTCGAAAATTGGGATATATACAATGTTGGAGATATTTGGATAGTGTACCTGACTATGTCTCAGAGAAGATGGCGATGTACAGTGGGTTAAAGCGGGCAGAATATGCGGTGTTATATTTTTTCGAGCTGTATGATTCTTCTCCCTTTCAGCCTTACAACACAGTGCATTTATTAATTTGTTTTTACCTTATCAGGTCTTTCCTTATACATCTTATGATATAAATTTTCTTTGTGGCTGTGTAAAACTTGTAAAAGTAGGAAATGTAACATCAGAGAATTGATATAGAACTTCAAATATTCCTATATATATTTCAAATATTGTGTCCTTTATGGGGTAATATTTTCAGTATGCAGAAAAAGTTATGTGTGTTCTGCAGTTTTGTAAAAGAAAAAATGCTTTAATCCAGGGAATGCACAGCAGAAAATTCTTGCAGTCCTCTTAACTGAACTTTGGTCAGTAAGTATAGTCCAGAAGGGCAATTTTGGACGTGGAATATAGTGAGAAGTGCTTTGAAAAATCAGTACACTTAGTGCTGAGTGTATAAGTTGATTGTAATGCTGAAGCTCTTAAATATTGCCGTGTCTCGGCTAGTATACTGACTTGTGGGGAAGATCAGAGTTTAATCCTGGTAAGGGAAAGATTATGTGTATTATTGACTGTTGTCTCTTTGAATGGGTAATGGTTATGTATAAAGTCTACATTGAATGTCCTATTGAACAATTTGTTTTCAGGATGCTGAAATACTCTTATAAAGAACATCTTCAGAATTCTGTTACAATTAAAGCCCTACTTAAGGTTTTCTTTGTATAGCAGTGGATTTGAATAGTGAAGTAAGGAATATCATAAATGGATGAACTTTATTACCGAGAGAGATGGTTTACTTTGGATTTGATTAAATTGAAAGTTAAATGATAGGAAACCATAAATCAGGGAATGTTAAATCGTATTTCCACTGTCTTTCAGTGCAATATTTGGGAACTGGTTGCGTCCAGTGCGACTGGTTGAGATTTTTTTTTTTTCTTTTATTCATGCCCTTACATGTTTCGGTCTTCGGAGACCATCTTCAGAGGGACACCTTTACATCAATACAATTAGAAGCCACTATTACAGTAAATGTTCTAAAAGTTAAAATATATGTTATGTAAACTGAATTTCATTACTGTCGGTCTTGTTTTCAGGGAAATCACTTCACAGCAGGGGCTCAAATCTTGTAGAACTCTGTGAGAAGTTTATTATTCATCTGACAAAAGTCATGATTGCTGTACTGGAAGATCATCCTTTCTCATATGTTGATGTGATACAACCATCTCTGGAGTTTACTGTGTTTTATGTGTTCACACCATCTGGCGAGTCAGTTCTTTTTGAACGGTTTATTATTCAGTGTTTGAATCTTATTAAGGGTATCCTCATGTGTGCCGAATACAAGCCAGCAAAGGTTATTGAAGGTGAGCCTAAACGTTTTAACCCTTTGCTTGCCAAGCAAAAGCATAAAATTGCCAAGTGTGCATGTGGTAAATGCAGTTACACAGAAAACCCTACAGTACTTCCCTCAAACAACCACCAAACAAAACAGACATTTCATGTGAATGCTTATTCTTTTCTTTTTTAAATATTGACACGCTGATGTGATCTGTTAACAGAAACCTGTACTAAGTGATTAATAACAAGCCAATCTCTTGAGAAAGGTTCTATCTGCTGGGTAATTAATGCTGTATAGTCTGTTGAAAGTCAGCTAATGTTTTGATGTTTTGGACGGATATGTTATCTCCATCCTCTGAAGAGTGAACGAAGCAAGAAACCTGCAGCTATTATTTTAGGCTGTGGTGGTTTTAATGCAAATATCTTGAGACAGTCTAGTCAAAGTCCATGCAAAGGGTTAATGAACTAATGTAACATTAGAATATTAAACATGTCGCAGTGTACTAAATGTTATACATGAATAAAATAGATTATTTTGTTTCTTTTAAAATACAGCACTCTAGAATAATCCTTTCGTATTAATGGTGTATTATGTACTTATTTGTGTGCAGAAACGAAAGAGCCTGGAACATTACGTGCTCATGAGATAAAGATGACGTTCTTCACAGCAAATACGCTAACGGAAATGTGCCGTAAGCTTGTAACACATTACTTCTTGCTTACACGTGATGACTTAGAATTATGGGATAGTGATCCTGAGAGCTTTGGTAAGTGTTTCCTATACAGTGGAATCCCTGTTTAAGCTTATTTGGGGGACCAGTGGATTTGAATAAAGACAAATCTTAAGTGGAGGTAGGATTTGAGACACTGATGGCAGCAAATATGCTGGGTTATAATGCCTTACATGGAGAGACCCTGATGTTTCAAAGGAACATATTGGCTCCATCTTCAGGATTGAAGAGTAAGCTAAATAAGAAACCAACAGAAGCAGGCAGTTAGCTGAGCTGCCTGTGTGTGTGCATGTGCGTTCTTCAGATACCTTTTTCTTTCTGTGAAAGCTGCAGATAGGGAGGTCAGATTCCATCTGTTGGTATGTGAGGCACTGCTAGTAACTCTGAAATTTGGGCCCTTAGTAAAGTATAAGGAAAACTGTGATTACTCTCTTGAGTTTTATTTTTATTATTCTGGTGTGGAAACTATGCTGTAACCGTCTTGATACTTCAGAAGTTTTCCAGAAGCCAGTAATACTTCACATTGTTAATAACTAATATGTTAAAAATTAATCTGCATATATTGGTACAGAGGACCCCATGAGGAGTGAGAAACATTTAATAAACATTAGATTTTTGTTAACAAGGAGCTAGGATGGCATAGTTGGTATAGTGACTGGCTGTGGGCTGGATGACCGCGGAGTCGGGGTTCAAGTCCTGGTAGGGTCAAGAATTTTGTCTTCTCCACATTGTCCAGACCAACTCTGGGCCCCACCCAGCCTCCTCTCCAATGGGTACCAGGGGCTCTTTCCCCAGGGGTGTGAAGCTGACCACTCACCTCCAACTAGTGCCAAGGTCAAGAAAATATGGATCTATACATCCACTCCCTCATATGCCTTCATGGTGTAGTGCTTAATTAGTTAAGCCCAGGGGCAAATTTACCTTTTTACCTCTTTGTTAACATTTGTTTAACCAACATCTTAGTAGAACAATATAGAATATGCTGTTATTTTGGGAATTATTGTTTTGAACTAAAATGAAATTGTGGTTGTATATATGTGTATCAAATTTTTAAATGTTATCTGAAAAAGGTATTGTACCTTCTTTTTCAGCTACAGATGAAGGTGGAGAGTGCTGGAAGTACAGTCTTAGGGTAGGTATTGTTCTGTATGACCAGAACCATTGGTCATACTAACCCTTTCATTCTACGCATGGGAATTAGGACACAAGGCTAATCAGTGTACATAACTGTTGGGTTTGAGGTTCCCACAGCATTGACTGCGAAGACTCCTAATGTGTAGGATGTACTGTCATATAGTTTGGTGAAAGCAAACTTTTCTGAGGAACATATCTCCTCCATTGTCAGGGTTGAAGAGAGGCTCTGCTAGCCACCTGCTTCGTGCTGGTTTCTTGCTTGGCTTGTTCTTCTGTCCTGAAGATGGAGACAACTGTTCCCCCAAAATGTTGGGTTGACTTTCAACATTATATCCCAGAAAATAGAACTTTTGTAGACACTGCTGTGAGAATCTCAAATTCTGTGTCGAATTTACTCCTGTGACTAAATATCAAGTGACAAATTAAACAGTTAAGTCTGCCCATGAGGTTGCTAGGTACGCTGAGATACACGTTACACATAATATTCTGATATGTGGAAAATTATTATATTTGGTGGATGCCGTGTGTTACATCCATTACTGCATGTTTTGGCAGTGGCTGTGGTGTGCTGTATAACATTTTCTGTTTCAGCCCTGCACTGAGAATTTGTTTTTTGTCTTGTTCCACGAGTTTCGTGTCATCTTATCGCCTGTCCTACTTGAAATGATCCAGAGTAACCATGCATTAGTATCACCTTCAGATCTGAATGCCATCCTGAGGAAAGATGCTGTTTATAATGCTGCCGGCCTAGCAGCGTTTGACCTCTATGATGAAGTAAGAGGATACTTATGTGTTGATATCATTTAAACATTTTTAGACATCAGTTGTATTCTGTTTATTTTGTTCATGGTATATTAAACCATTTAATGAAGAAGACTGTGAGGATACACTCTTCTGTGCTGTAAAGAAAGTGAAATTATGGGAGAATACAATTTCCACCAATAACAGAATTTATAGATTAATGTAGAAGATATTGGTACCAACTGTAGATTGATTCAGGTCCTCATCCTGACCTCCTGTACAGTGGTCAACATGTTCTTTTGGGAGAAAGTATCCAACATTAACCACCCACATGTTTTCAGTGTCAGAAGTTAAGAATGACTGGGGCTATGTCCCAACAAGACAGGCAGGGTCCATAGTGGACTATGGTGCTGATTTTTAAAAGGGAAGTAATACAGATTTGGTGTTTGCAGGTGAATTTCGACCAGTGGTTCTCCACTACATTGACCCAGGAACTCAAAGTGAAAGCGGATAATTATCGTGTTATTCGACGGCGTGTGGCATGGCTTATTGGAGTGTGGACTGGTGTAAAACTGTCATCAGAACTACGCCCAGCTTTGTATTCCGTGACACTACTATTACTACAGAGCGATGAAGATATAGCAGTTAGACTTACGGCTTCCAGCACACTCCAACATGTTATCGATGACTTCGAATTCAACACAGAACAGTTCCTGCCATTCCTTGAGCCTTCTTTTGCTTTGTTGTTCACGTTATTGAAGGAAGTCCGTGAATGCGACAGTAAGGTAATTTTTTAGTTGTTGTTAAAGTAGATATGTAGTTTTGGAGATACAAATGAACTTCATTTTGTCATTTTGTGGCAGCTTTCATTTACTGATAATTTGTGTTGGATAGATAGTCATTTTCAATTATTTTTGTATATTTATCTGTTTATTAATTAACCTTTATTGGACGAACGTCATCATATGATGTCGTTAAAAGTAAGGGCAGCTGGCCGAACGTCATTATATGATGTCGTGGATTCCACGCGTGTAAGGTTTTTTTTAATATTATATTAAAAATATAAATTGTTCTATTTACATGATTTTTGGTCACCACCTTTATAAGGAGACAGCCTTCCCTCCTGCATGATCTAATGTAATCTAGCGACGTCATATGACGTTAAAGGTAAGGACAAATTGAAGAACGACATCATCTGATGTCGCGCATTCCACGCGTGTAAAGATTTTTTAAAATTAAATTAAAAATATAAATTGTTGTTCTATTTACATGATTTTTGGTCACCACCTTTATAAGGAGACAGCCTTCCTTCCTGCATGATCTAATGTAATCTAGCGACGTCATATGACGTTAAAGGTAAGGACAAATTGAAGAACGACATCATATGATGTCGCGCATTCCACGCGTGTAAAGATTTTTTTAAAATTAAATTTAAAATATAAATTGTTGTTCTATTTACATAATTTTTGGTCACAACCTTTATAAGGTGACAGCCTTCCCTCCTGCGTGATCTAATGTAATCTACCGACGTCATATGGCCGAACGACCTCATATGATTTCGCACATTGTACGCGTGTAAAGATTTTTTTAAAATTAAATTTAAAATTAAATTTTTGCTCTACTTACGTAATATATGTTCACCATCTTCATGAGGAAACAGCCTTCCCTCCTGCGTCATCTATGGTAATGTGGCCTTCGTATGATACTGCCGAAAACATTCCGAAATGCAGAGTCCGACGTCGCAGCTCACGCACTTCGTACGAACGCTAGACCGCTTCCCACGCGAAAAGCACACACGACACCTCAGTTGCGATTTGGAGGAAGCAGGCCAGTGATATCAAGCTGCAAGTGATATTTATCCCCGCAGCTACACCGGCATAATTATTCACATCTCTCCAGCCACACTGGTCTGGCGGTCCCCAAGTTGACGACGAAGGTGATGACCCTACGTCCGCGGATTCAGAACTCCTACTTTCATCGCCCCTTTCAGAATCGGTTGAATAGCAGTCCGAATCTGTGTCATTGAACAGCTGTTTTTCACTTTCAGCACCTTCCATACGACGTCGTCGTGTATACGGCTCTCTAGCAGTGAATCTCTGTGCGTAGACCACGATAAGAAGCTATAAATCTTAACCTCGAGCCCACACATACAAAAATCTCATTCACGACTTCGCTGAACCCAATATCTACCTCATGATATCATGGGTGGCTAAACTTATATTGCGATGTTTCAAAATCGTTACAAACACAATGGTTTGACTGCAATGAATGAACGAATGACCGATCTGGCAACACCATATTCTGAGAATGTAATCATGTGTATTTCTAACAGCGAACGAATTTCAGACGCCCACAGTCTCTGCATACCGTCATGTACCATACGATAAATAAGCTTCAACAAGCGATAGTATTGTATGAGGTCGCGACAAGGACTTTTACACTGCTAAAACGCATGGTGCAGAAAATGTATTACACTGCTAGAACGCATGGTGCAGAAAATGTATGAATTTCGGGATTCTTTTTTTTTTAATGAGTGTAAAAAATTTTTACAGATATTAAAATCTGTAAATTAGAATATCTGACTCTATATTCTTTCTACATTAAAGGAGCGTTCATTTCGTTCGTTTATTATAAAAAATGTAGAAATTACACCATTTTTAGGAACATGCTTACAATTCCATTGCCCTAGAAGGGCGGGCATTTAAATAAACTCCGTCCAGCTGCCCCTACCGGAAATTAAATGGCCCGTCCGATGAAGGTTAATGATGCTGTTAGTACCTCAGACTAGGAAGATTACTGTTGTCAGGGATTTGAAGCCTTGTAGTCTCATAGGTTATTACCAATGTTTTGGTGCAACTTGTGCTTCCATTTTCAGAGTAGAAGAGTAATAGTAAGGGTAATCTTGCGCTTATCCTTCTACCTTGAAAGTGGAGGCAACAGAATACTCTGTAACATTGATAACAGTTTACCAGGCCACATAGTACCACATCCTGGAACACAGAAATCTTCACAGTTGGCTCGTATAGTTAGTTAGTTTGTTGGGCTGCGCCATAGCTCAAGCGGTTAGTCGCTGGCTTCCCACCCCAGCGGCCTGGGTTCGATACTGGGTCTGGTCAAGTGGGATTTGTGGTGGTCAAAGTGGCGCTGGGGGAGGTTTTCTCCGAGTACTTTGGTTTCCCCTGCCAATCTTCATTCTACCAATTGCCCCACAATCACCCTCACCTATTATCTGTGGCTGGTACAATAGGCCAGAAGTGGCCGCAGTACAAAGGACTTAGTCCCACCTCACTAGTAATAAAAAAAGTACAGTAGAACTTGGTTATAACGTCATCAGAGGGACCTAAAAATAGTGTCGTTATAAACGAATGTCGTTGTAACCGAAATGGGCACTTCCACAGTAGCCTTATGTTAGTCACGTAAAAATCTACCAAAAACCGAGTTAAAATGTTGCATTTTTTAGTGAAATACGTAGTTAAGTACAGACTAACGTAACATTAACGTGGAATTGCCCAAATGTGTAATATCAAAGACATATTACAGCGCTTTTCACTGACAATACACACCGCACTAATACTGTATATTAAAGGTAGGCCTACTCACCAAATTACAGTAGATTACATCAATTGTTGTGCCTTACTGTACCTAGATACGAGTACAGTAATCAGTTATCTTCATCTGTTTCCTGTTACTTGCCCAATACACACTTTCTAAATTACGTTCAATGTCCATATCAGAGAAATTCAGGAATGAAAATGACGTTACATACGAGGTTGATGCATTTGTGCATGTCGTACTAAGCAAGGTATAAAAACAGTTGCTTTATGAGGAATTAGTTCGTACCATTGAATATTTGACGCAATAGACAAGGTGTCGCAGAAACCGATGTTGCTATAACCAAGTTTTACTGTAGTTTGTTAAAGCAATGGTTCTCATGCCTTGTAACCTCTGAAACAGTTGAACAAATATCTGGACTGCATGGAAGAATAGAAGACTAGGAAAATACAGAACTTAATTCTTTATGCTCTTATAATGTATTATATTTTCTCAAATACCCCACGCTCATTTTGCAGAAGAAAATAATGCCAAAAAGTGGGGTGCATGGCTTATTCGCATCAAAGTTAACAGCTGCTCATTATTCATATTTGACACTTGAGTGCGTTCCAGAAGGTGGTAGCGCACACCTCTGTTGGCATTCATACTCATACGTGGCACACGTTACTAGTGATGATGCAGTTCATCTCAGTTTATTCAGAAGTGAGTGTCAGTTCTACATTATGGTTTTGAATGAAAAAAAAATTAATACAGAGAGAGAGAGTGAGTATAATCTTTGACGATGAGTGAAAAACTAAAGATATGAGGTGCTATTGGAAAGTTTCCGGACTATGTAAAAAAAAAAAGAAATGCTGTCTTAACTTGCTCAGTTTTGGCTCCATCTCCTTCTGAATAGTCTTGGGAACATATACTGTGAACCCATTGTTTTTTCCACACTTCAAAAGCACTGGAAGTCATTTCTCTTGATGCTGTTGAGTTCCATTTGTGATTCCCTTTGGATGTCAGACACTATTTCAAAATGTTATCCCTTCAGTTTCATTTTCAATTTGGGAAACAAAGCAAAATCACAAGGGACAAGTAAGGAGGATGGGGAATTAACCATATTGTTGTTCCTCAGAAACTCTGTGGTTTTCAGGGACGTGTGGGTGGGCACATTATCTTGGTGAAGGAGGCAGTTGTTGAAGGAGTTCCAGCCTTATTCATCACACATTTTCTCTCGAACTCCTCAGAATGTCACAGTAAAAGTCGGAGTTGACGCTAGTGTTAGGAGGAACAAATTCACATGAACAATCCCCTTCACATTGAAAAAAATAATGAGCATGCTCTTTGTTGAACACCGGACCTGCCACGCCTTTCTTCTCTTGGTTATTGTGAGCTCTTTCACTGTGACGATTGTTTATTCATTTCTGGATCGTAACCATAAATCCAACTTTTGTCACCCACCATGATCCTAGAGATAAAAGTTAGGTCCTCATTAACCTCCTCTCATAGCTGAAGACACACATTTATGTGCTGCTGCTTTTGATCATTTATCAAGAGTTGTGGAACAGACTTTACGGCAATGTGACGCATGTTCACATTTTTTGTTAAGATCTGGCAAACTCCATAACTGATTCCAGCGGTGTCTGCGAACTCATTGATGAGGGTGACCAATCACTTCTGTCTAGTGCAAAGTTTGAGTCATGGTCTTCATGGCACGGTACTGAATTAATTGATCACAGGTTATCTGTAACTAATTTTTTAACGTGGTTTCGATATTTTGAAAATATGAAGTAGGATTATGAGAGCACCTTCTTCTGTTGGTGTTTGTGTATCCCACATCCAGGACTCATTAGTAGGCAGCAGCTTGGAAAGCACATTCCCATCGCAATGAATACATACGCAAGAATAGAAAAATTGTTTGGATGCATTATTTTCTATGCAGTCTGTGTTGTATCTCTTAAGTGTATACATAGTTTCTTGGGGTGAGGTGAGACTGAGTCCACTTGGTATGTTGGCTGTTGGTGGGCCCACCATCCCTGGGCAGTAGATAAGTTACTTTTTATTATTTTCTTGGGGTGGGCTGAGACTGAGTCCCCTTGGTACATCAGCCACTATTCAGCCTGTTGTACCAGGCCCGGATGGTAGATGATGAGTGTGGGGCAGCCAGTGGAATGAGAATTGGTATGGGAAACCAAAATACTTTTTTTTAATTCGTTTAGTGGGGGGTATAGTCCAACTGGGTTCACTCGGCATGGCGGCCACTGATTGGCCTATTGTAGCCTGCCCCGGGTGATTATGATGATGGAGAATTTGGTGGAATGAAGATTGACAGGGAAAACCGAAGTACTTGGAGAAAACCCACCCCAGAGCCACTTTGTCCACCACAAATCCCACTTGACCAGACCCGGGATCGAATCCAGGCCGCCGCGCTGGGAAGCCAGCGACTAACTGCCTGAGCTATGGCATAGCCTGATAGATGAGTATGGAGCATTCAGTGGAATGAGAATTGGCAGGGGAAACCAAAGTACTTGGAAGAAGCTGGCTCCAGGGCAACTTGGCCCACCACAAATCCCACATGGCCTGAAATTGAACCTGGATTGCCAGTGTGGGAAGATGTGGCATGATCATCTTTGCCTTCACTTTATGGTCTGCATAAAATATTAGTTTTTCTTTTTCAGATGCATGTTCTGCATGTGCTGTCATTCATTGTGGAACGAGTTGGGTATGCCATCAGGCCATATTCTGACTCCCTCATCCAGTATTTGCCATTGATGTGGGAGGAATCAGCAGAACACAATATGCTTCGATGTGCCATCGTCTCCACATTGGTGCATCTAGTGAAGGTTCGTGTACTTAGTTTGTGCTATGCATCATTTTTTTATTTGTAAGTAAAATGGTAAGTACTATGGACTTTATAAATGAAACCTGTTCAGTAATTTTTTATTGTTTTGGACAAAGCAGTAGAGGCTCTTAAAAGATATTACTGCTTCAGCAGTGTTTCTAGTAGAACATTATTATTTTGTTTTTCTGTTTTTGTTTCTTGTGGCAGAAAATATTGTCACGTGATAGAGTGTGACTATAGATGGGTAAACACTCTGATTATTTGAAGAAAGTAGTCTTCTGGGATGTGGCACCATGTAGATGTGGTGTTAACCGACGTTTCAGAGGAACATATCGCCTCCATCTTCAGGGTAGAAGACTGCTTTCTTCATGGTCACCGCTGTGAAAACCTCAAATCTTACACTCTGATTATTTAACTACAATAAGATGACCGAATCTAGGAGGGTTGACAGAGGGGTAATGTTCTAGACCAATATTTTAGAGGTGCTTGGTTGAAATCTTGGCCAGGACTGGCTGTCCTTGGTGAGGGTTTTGTGGTTTTCCTCAGTTCCTCTGGGCATATGCTTGGATTGTATCTGAGTTAGGCCAAAACCACTTCTTTTGAATCCATTCTGATTCATCAGTCGTCCTACCATTTGGCACTTTTTAATTCAGATGTTTTCAGTGTTATAAAATAACCTGTTCACAAGATGATGGAACCAAGCAAGTTAGCTCAGATAATAATGCTTCTGATTGGTATGCAGAAGGTTCCTGGTTCTTATTTCAGCTGGCTTATTTCATGGTTTTCCACAGTCCCTCCACGTGAATGTAGGCGATACCTTGAGAGAAACCATGACTGCCTCCTTCCACATTCTTTCCAGTTCATTAATTTTTTATCCTAACATTCGATGCTATATAGTTTGAGATATTAATGTTATTAAATAAACAATAAATAAACAAATAAATAAAATTATGGAAATTGTTGTATGTATATGTGAATTTAATATCATACTTAGTTCACCACTACCAGAGTCTTCACCTCTTCCTCGTTCTTCCACTTTCTTCTTTCTTTTTTCTTATCAAAGGCTTAAAAATGTAATGGAGTAGTCAAGGCAATTTTTGTAAATTTAGAGTGGGTAGTTACTTGTGTTGCTAGACCTGATTGTACTGAATTTGATGTTACAGGCATTAGGAGCAGCAGTGTGTGAGACTCTATCACCCTTTCTGCTGCCTATAATCCAGATGAGCACAGATGTGCACATGCAGTTGCATGTATACCTTCTGGAGGATGGGTTGGAACTGTGGCTTGCTGTGTTGGAGAACACTGCGTCCATGTCTCACAATCTGCTTCAGTTGTTCCGTAATATGCCACCTCTATTAGGTAGGCTTCTTCACTGCAACAGGAGTCGAAATCATGTCTGGCTATAATTGTTTGCCTGGTTTTCTCTTCCCGGACTATTATTTCTAAAAGTATTCATGAGAGAATTGAACCCCTGTTTGAAGTTCCTCAATTTAAGGTTTTCCTTCATTCAGCATTCAATTTCAGTGATGGCAAATTAAAGATCTCAGTATTAAATGACCTCCATTTAAGATTTTCCTTGGTCTTATGTTCAGATTGACTTGTCACCAGGGAAACTTTAAATAGGGCCAATTGTCAATAGATTTTCCGTCAAGTGCAACAATGTATATTTTGGTCACTTATTTATCTCATCTGCCTTACATGTTTCGGTTCCAAGGAACCATCTTCAGAGGCACTTACAACAAGTCATGAAAACACTGGCACAGCTCAACATCCACAGTATGTAGTTATTTGTGGAAACTATTACATATATCGGAGTGTAAAGCACAACACTTCCCAGTATCTTGAATGCAGGTATAGCACTTGCATCTAAAAAAAC